GTGTACCGTGTGATCTTCTATGTACTCGAGGATCTAGCACATGTGTGACTTTCTTGTGTTGGTTTAGTGATTCTCCTGTGTTTCCCTTTGTGTTCCCCTCGTTTTTCCCTCGTGTTCATCGCGGGATTCGCTCCTTTCGTGAAAGATCGGCCCCTAGGGTTCCTATCCTACATCAAAAACGTTTTCAGAATTCATGATATTTTAAATTTTGATAACATACTTGCAAATTGCTCGCCGAAATGCAGCAGCCAACTAGAGACTGACACTCTATTGCGGGACCCGAATATTATACGCCGGGAAGAAAAATAACAGTCCGAAGAAAATGTCTAGGCGCTATAACCACATGTCATGTATTGCTGACGCATCCCGTTATAAGAGCGTGATTGCGTGAAGAATATGCCCGGGCTCCCACCTTGAATCAACAGTTTTGCTAGAACTCATCTAGATAAGATATAATTTGGTCTCATTCATTTTTTTATAGTCACTGGATGTGATGCTATAAGATGCGTGTGTGCTGACGTGGATGTTTTATGTTCTTGTTTTCCAAGTGAATGGGACCAAATTATATCTCATCTAGATAAGTTCTAGATACTCCCTTAAATCAATCATCGCAAGCTAGGGTCGTTCCATTCCACGCAGAAAACGCACATGCCTCTTGGAAACGCAGGCAGGAGAGCATCTTGGAGCGAGTCGTGTTATTAGTTTCCACGAGGGAGGGGATTGGATTTGGATGGAGACGGTGACCGGGCCGAACGTGGATAGACACCATAATACAGTATACTACAGAAAATAAATGTTTCTGCTAGCGTCTAGAGGCGTTGCTGACCTGGTTTGATTAGTTTAGTGGGTGAGCTAGCTTAATGATCAATCTCCTCATGTGTTCTGGTCCTTGTTGATCAATAACGTACCTCTTAGCTGAGGCTTGAGACATCGAAGCAAGAACATGAATGGCCATTGGCCAAGGTGCGAGCGAGTGTGCTACGTAGTAAAACTAGCCCCCCGCTCCTCCGACCTAGGGTTCCTCCCTCCCTCCCTCCGCCACCGCCGGCCGTCCTAGGCCCCGTTGCCGCCCCGCCCCGCCCCCTTCCCCCCACCCCTTCCCCCGGATCCGATCCACGACGCCTCCCCGAGAGGTGGCCGGGGCAACACGAGCCCTGCCTCCCCTTCGGTCGCCCTCGTCGCTCCTTCCCTCCTTGCCGCCGCCGACGGGCGGGCCGGGTGGTGTTGGCGGCGGCGGGGCCTGCCTGTCCCCACGCGCGCGGCTCCTTGCTCGGGGCATGGGGGCGGCGGCGGTGCCCCTCGGCCTGATGATGGCCCGGCGTCCCGGCGTGG